CTTCCTCTCTCTCTCCCATACCGAGTAAGCGAGACCACACAACATGTGATACGAACGACGATAACATACGTATGCTGAAATAAGTTCGTTTTAAAATGTAACATGGAGTTCATTTTAAACTGTAACATTCATGTGACATTTAAGATTGTAACATGTGTAATATTTAAAATTGTAACATTATAGACTTAAAGTGGTTATAGAATGGAACAAAGCTTTTTATGTAACATTCAAAAATAGGTTCTGATAATTTGATTATATTAAACAGAGCCTGCAATTTCAATCAATCAAAACCATTCAAATTCATACACAAATATTGAAACAAAAAGCATGTATACCGTGCTCCAGCTGCTAACGAGGCGTTCAAGGAATTCAATTGTCCATGTATATGATGTAAGGGAAGTGTATGCAGTACAACATCATTAGCTGAGTACTGCCACGCGGTGTGCAATGCTGCTATTTGTGTACTGAGCATATTATGTGTCCATACAACGCCTTTTGGCTTGCTTGTTGTACCTGGAATTAAAATTATTTTTACTGTACATTTTTAGAAACTAGGTGTAGCAAATTTTATTCTTGTGAGTTAAAATTCCATAGTTGTTTGAAAACAAAGATCCATATCGTATCCATCTATCTGTTTATAAATTAAGATAAACAATTGTGTAAATTGAACACAGGTGTGTGTGAAATAAATATATTAATCCGATCTGAACGTAATCAAATCTTATCAATTTTATCAGTAATAATGGTATTTTGTTTATCAAATTCTCTTTAAATCCGCAAGTCATTATAAAAGATACCTATTCTTCCCTTAAGTAATAAGTACAGCACAATTCATATAGTAGACTAACTTTCGCACTCAAGTACGCTTAATTTAGCTTAATAAGATAAGATTTCTTACAATTATTCTACACAAGGGCTTTGAATAAAATATCATTCGATATAGGGCTGATTTTGAATTAAATATAAGGTTCACGCATTATGTTGGTTCGGTTTGTACAAAGTGTGACATGCGAAATTACGAGCGGTCATTAAATTTGCAATGAACTGTACATGTAATCAAAATCTTATGTCATACTAGCTATCGCAAGCGACACCGTTAGTGCGGTATAAAAAAATAACTTAATAAGTAGCCTATGTGTTCTTCCAGACTATGTTCTACATCCCTGCTAAATTTCATCGAGATCCATTGAGCTGTTCTTCTGCTTCTGATACTTTCAAACAAACATACATCCATCTAAACATTCGCATTTATAATATTAGTTTTAGACATTATTAGTTAGAATCCTTTGGCGCCAATGGTCGGATTTTCTTCCTAACATTAATAAGAAGTAAGATACTTTACATTCTCCCTGAAAGCATAGGTACAACAATATGTATCACAACATGTTTTACAGTCGAAACACACTTACCACTAGTATATATTAACATGGCATCATTTTCCCCATACCAGATATTTGATTTACCAATATCACTTAAAGTTTCTTCCATCTTTGGTTTCATAAATGATGTATTAGGTTGATATAATTGTGCGGTTACTTCTTTCTCTCTACCAGCGATTAGTAGAGGTGTTGAAACTTCTAATGTTATCGGACGTAACAGTTTCTCGTATTCCTGTGTACATATAACTAAGCTAGCCGTACTGTCTGTTAGGAAATATTTGATCATATCCGGAGGATGAAGTGAAGAAAGTGGGATAGCTGAAATAAAAATGTTACTGTAATTTACAATTCTAAAAATGAAAACATAAATTGTACACAATATTATAGAATTTTTAACTAAAATTCCTTATTTTCTTACTACATAACGTTAGCCAAACATATAGATTCAAACCAGGAGCAAGAAATGTCTATAAGCGAGTCACTGTCCCATCAGACGACCTCTCAAAAGCGAGAAACCTCTATAAGGTTATCGCGGTTTCTAAAGAAACAGAGTCTAAACTCTTGCTTGTCCAGGTTCGACTATAGCATATGTCAATCTGACATTTGTATATTTCCTTGGTTCATTTGGATGATTTAGATGTAATTTTTTCAAAGTAGTTAAAGTTTATTTGGAAAAAGAAATTTCAATACTAAATAATCTTTACTTACCAATGTTCCCTGTCATCCATATAGCCCACTGCGTGATGACGTGCGAGGCGTTGTTACTGCACATGTATGCGATTGTTCGTTGCGTTTCACCCACTATACACAAAGTGTTACAAATGTTACAATCTTAAATCATTTATTTTAAATGTTACAATAGTAAATTGATACATTTTAAAATATGCATGTAATAAATTATAAATGTATCTAAAAGCCTATCCGTAAAATAGACCTGAAATACGATTATGATTCTCCGAGTTAGACTATATTAAAAAAGGGGTCTTGACAGACAGACAGACGGACAACAAAGTGATCCTATAAGGTTCCGTTTTTTCCCAATGAGTTACGGAACCCTAAAACTAACACATCATAAAACAATATTTTCATTTCTTAGTAAACATGTACATTTGAACATTATAAGTGAAAACTCTAAAAGCAACTCATTGTCTGGTCCAAACTTCATAAGCGAGAAACCTCTATCAGCAAGAAAAATATTACCATATATTGAACTCTAGTTACCAGGTTCCACTGTAATTAAACTTGTTAGAATAATGTATAACTAACCAAAGACTGTCATGACACTTGTAAACATACATATTGTCATCCCTTTCATTCTTTTCAATAAAACAGAGACAACAGTATATATACAAGTGTCGGAACACTTGAATTATGTAATTAACTTACAAAGTTGTGCAGCAATCTCATCACTAAGTGCTGACGCTGCTTGATGCAGACCTGCATATGTGTAGATACCAATGTCATCTTGTAAGGCTACACGACTTGGGAATAATAAGGCTCTTCTAAATACTGGTACAACACCACCTTTGAAAAGTAAAATAATCATTATATGTTTATACAAATTACATACTCTAACCGTTGGTTTCTGAAACCAATCTGTATAAAACATTATCTTTGACCAAGACCTAGCAGATGGAGTCTGGGGCATGGTTCTGAAGGCTTTATAGTATTGTACATGTGTTTTCCATTATTATTATTTGTATTTTTTTGTTGTTCAATTGTATACTTGTAGTTGTAATTATTTTCTAGCAGATGGTTATGGCTCTCACATGTTCAAAGGAAGGAAAGTCCCTAAAACTATAAAAAGAAAAAATCTTTGACAAAACAAAGATAACAATGTGTTTTAAACAGAGATTTTGGTCTCAGGAATCCATGGTAAGGGAGCCAGGCTACTGGAGCCCATTGAAGACTGGGATGGGGTGGCAGGAATAAAATTAAGGTTGCACAAGTTGAAGGAATATAGGAGCAGAGTGTTATCAAATGCAGATAGTTTTTAATGAAATTTTGGTGGGTATTCTTAGGTTGCCAGAAAAGGTCCGCGGAATTAAAATTCTCAATAATATGGTACGTAGCGTTGATCTTCGTACAATCAATGCTTGGGTTATTTGTTTAATAACCCCACATTCTCCTTTAATCAAGGTTATATTAACAACGAATCGATTAATACACACATACCCGCTTTTATATCTTGATTGAATGATGTCAGAAGCTCAGAATTAAGTTCCTCTTTCACAGGAGCAGTTGATGCATACTTATAATTAGCTATACTAACAGGCTTTCTTAAAAGCCGGTTTAAAATACGAAGAGAACGAAAAGAATTTTCCATTATATTTAAAGCTAGTTTAAGCTACGGGAATTGTAAAGCACAATGCCGGCACTGAGACTGATATAAAACGCACGTAACAAATTAACACGTAGATAAAAATTAGACGAAAACGTAAAAAGATATTTTGAGATAGTTTATTATTCTTATCTTTTTTGTGACAACAAAATGACAAACAAGTGACGTATAGAAACCATATGACATATGACTGTCACCGCAATACACAGATAACGTTCAGAAAAAGTTGGAGGAAATAAGATTCAGTGCGTATTTGTTTTATAATGCTAAAGGATAAAATAATCATTCATAAATATACCCAGATCTTTAGTTAATCCTGTTGTTTGAGGTCTTATGGGGGTTTCATAAAATTTATACAAATTTGCAACTCCATTGAACACAGGTTGTCAAAGTGGAAACTTGTGTCAATGTCAATCTCGTTCTCAAACTCAAATGAAGTCAACAAAATGTCGTGATAAGTTGTAACAAAATGGAATACTAAATATTTCAAATATATTATAAGGACATGTTTCAATTCTACTTAAACTATTAAGTATCAAAGTAATGGTTTAAATGTACTCTAAGTATAAGTAAAATACATAAAAATGGTGGTGATTAACGCACCAGAAACACCAATACAAGCTGAAATTATATTTGTTATAGAAGCTACATCAGCAAACAGCGCCTATATAACTGAATTGAGAACTAATTATATCGTGCCCACATTAGAGTAAGTATTAAAACATTTGGCAATTTAATAAAAGTATTAACCATTTAATAACGTTTCGTCACACGATTGTTGTGACTACTGTACGACTCACAATTGTACGACTACCGTCTGTGAAAATTATAAAATTTATGATCATCG